GCCTAATATTCTGCAAAAGACCTCTTTAAAGTTTTAAAAAGCAAAGATGTCACTTTGATGATTAAGGTGCACCTGACCCAGGCCATGGTCTTTTGAATCACTTCATATGCATGGAAAAGCTGGACAATGAAAAAGGAAGACAGAAGAATTGATGTATTTGAATTGTGCTGTTGGAGAATATTAAATATACTGTGGACTGCCAGAAGAACAAACAAATCATTCTCAGAAGAAGTATGGCCAGAATGCTCCTTAGAAGCAAGGATGGTTAGACTTTGTCTTGGTTACTTTGAACACATCTTCAGGAAAGACCAAGTGCTAGAAAAGTACATGATGTTTAGTAAAGTAGGGGGTCAGTGAAAATGAAATAAACCCTTTATGAAATAGATTGACACCATAGCTGTAACAATGGGCTCAAACATACCAACGATCATGAAGATGGTGCAGGACTGGGCAGTGTCTCCTTCTGTTGTACATAAGGTCACTATGAGTCAGAGCCAACTCAATGGCAAATAACAATGACAACAATATTCTTTGCTGTATTTTGATTCTAAAGTCTTTGTTCCTTCAGTGAGTGGTCAGCTAGTGGGTTTGACAGAGATTTCCTTAGATACCTGGCTCCAAAAACATGAAAAGAAAGAAAAGAAGAAGAAAAAAAAAAAAAAACATACTTTCCCAATCTTTGAAGATTGGTCCTGTGTTGGAGTACTTCTTGAATGCTTAACCAGGCCATCCTTTCTCAAGCCAATTTTCTGCCCTGAAAAAGTTATGAGTTAGGAGAAACAAAGGCAAGCTCCTTGTGTGTTCGTCCTTCAGGGAATTTCTAGACAGGTCCAAATGGACAAACAGAATTCCTTGGGAACCAGGTCCGTTTGCTTCCTCTGGAACCAGGTATCCACATGGGGAATATGGACTGCTATCTTTAAGACTACAACTATGCTGGACAAGTAGGTGGGGCAAGGCTAACTTAAAAATGCCACAAAGTTCTACTGTGTTTAAGTCACCTTTTTCTCAATTCAGCGTTCACTTGGTTGTGGTAAAGCCATGACTATTTTCCAGAGTTCTAACAAAGCTGATTTTGTCAGTTTTTGCTCGTTTGTTTGATATTTCTGTGGAGGATGGGTCCTTGAAGTTCCCTACTCTGCCATTTTCAGTGACGTCACTCTCTAAGTACCCTAATAGTTTTTCTTTTGATAAAAGATTGAAAACTGATTTTAAATTTTATATGAAAGTTCAACAGATCAAAAATAACCAAATAAGCCCTAAAGAAAAAGAATGAAGTCAGAGGACTTGCCATAACTGATATCAAGATTCATTATAAAGCTATATTAATTATTGTAATGCTATATTAATTATATGCATAATTATAAAACTAATTAATAATGTGTAATTTTGATACAAGGCTAGACAAACAGACCAGTGGACTTGAATAAAGAAATAGGAACTTCCATATATGGAAAATTTTCTTTAGGACAGAGCAGGTACTACGATAAATGGTTCTGAGATGACTGATTATTCATATGAGAGAAATAAAAGTGGACTTCTATTTCATACCACATACAAAAATCATTTTTAGATGGTTTCATGGATTGAATTGTGTCCCCCAAAAATATCTGTCAGCTTGGCTGGGTCATCATTCCCAGTACTGTATGATTGTGTACCATTTTGTAATTGATGTGATTTCCTTATGTATCATAAACTATCACTATGATGTAGTAAAATGGATTAGCGGCAGTTATACTGATGAAGTCTACAAGATTAGATAGCGTCTTAAGCCAATCTCTTTTGAGATATAAAAGAGAGAAGCGAGCAGAGACATATGGGAGCCTGATACTACCAAGAAAGCAGTGCTGGGAGCAGAGCACGCCCTTTGGACCTGAGGTTCCTGTGCTGAGATGCTCCCAGACGAAGGGAAGACTGATGCATCACAAGGACCTTCCTCCAGAGCTGACAGAGAGAGAAAGCCTTCTCCTGGAGCTGATGCCCTGAATTTGGACTTGCAGCCTACTAGACTGAGAGAAAATAAATTTGTCTTTGTTAAAGCCATCTGCTTGTGGTGTTTCTGTTATAGCAGCACTAGATGACTAGGACAGGTGGATTAAAGACATAAATGTAAGAGAAGAAACAATAAAAACCTTAAGAGGAAATAATAGGAGGCTATCTTTTATGACCTGGGGCAAGGAACAATTACAAAATAAAATACAAATCTTAAGAGGAAACATTGCTAAATTCAACTATATTAAAATTAAAACCTCTGTTATATTTAAAAAATCCATAGAAGGGCATGAGAAGTCTCAAATAGGAGAAAATATTTGAATTACATATAACTGACAAAAAATTACTCAGAACATATAGATAAATTCTGTTTATCAGTAAGTAAGAGAAATAAACCACTACAAAATGCTTTATTTAAAGGGAATGAAAAGGCACTTCACAGAAGAGAAAACACAAATAGTCTATAAATATATTAAAACATGTCATACCCTTTTAGTAATTTTTTTGTAACCAGGAAGTGTGACCATGGCATGTTAAAGTTATAGACAAAAGTAAAAATGTTAATCGACTTTTAAACAATTCTCTCTCATTTATAAAATCCTTCCATTGAGTGCATGTTTCCTTCTAGTACTACCCTATGTATGTCTCTCCCCCTTTCCCCAAGCAGTCCTCTTGAAAAAATTTTCTATACTTATATGTTCGTTTTTCTCATCTTGTACCCTATCCTTAATACTTCAGGCTGACTTCTGCCTTCAAAGTCTATTGAAATAGCCCTCTAAGAATAATAATGTCCCCAATGGTGCTAAATCTGTTGGACATCTTTCTTGACACCTCAGCAAATATGATGTTGACCATTTTGCTCTCCTTAAAATGCTCTTTTGGCCTCTATGACCTAATACGCCTATTGCGGATGCTGGCTTCAGATTCTGATTATTTTACCTTTTTTTTTTTTTAAATTCTGTCCTCTAGGAAGCTTTTCCTAACAACCAACTAAAACTCCAGCCACATTAATAACAATGTTTCAGAATGAGGTATTTTCTGGTTACTTTGCTCATAGTCTTGTCTTTAATTTCCTGGGATTAATTTTTTTTGTTGTTGTTTTGCTAGACTAGAATGTGTTGTAGAATAGTTCCTAAATTCTTAAAAAATTTCTGAAAATAGTTTCATTTTGCCTTTACACTTAAATGATAAGGTGTTCAAATTTAAAATGGAGATTTAAGGTTTTCCTTGGGCACTTCATAGACATTGCTTCATAGTTTCATAGTATTTTCTCATTCTATTTAGTATTTGCCTGTTATGTTGTTAATTTTCTTCATATCTGATCAGTTTTCATCTTTCACTTGTTTTTGTCAATGTTCTAGAATTAATAGTATCAGTAACTGATAATGTGAGTTTCCTCAGTAGCTGAGAAGGCCACTGTTCTAGCTTTTAGTGGTTTAAATAATTGTGGAGTTCTGATTACAGTGAGTGGTTGCATTGAGATATGGTAATAACTGAGTTTTCTGTCAATTCCAAGGTAGGAAGGGAGGTTTCAAGAATCTTGGAGTCTCTCTTGATAGTGGAAAGAATGAATAATCCCAAGGGAATATGTTTTAGTGGGCATCACTTGCTAAGCCTTTTTATAGCTGAGAATATTTTCCTTCACAAACGGACATTAATTTGTTTTAGTATATTTTCTGGAGGGTCTCACCCCTTTTTGTTATAATATTTTCTTGTTATTTTAGCCCATGGTTTCTCAAACTTCAGAATGCAAAGGAATTACCTGGAGGGTTAGTTAAAACAAATTACTAAACCCCAACCCTGGCATTTCTGATTCAGTAGGCTTGGGTAGGGCTTTAAGATTTGCGTTTCTGACAAGTATGCTTGTCAGGTAATGCTTGATGCTGTTGGTTGTGGGACCACACTTTGTGAAGCACTGATTGAGAGTTGGAGCCCTGGTGGCACAGTGGTTAAGAGCTGTGGCTGCTAACCAAAAGGTCAGCAGTTTGAATCCACCAGCCACTCCCTGGAGACCCTATGGAGCAGTTCTACTCTAACTATAGGGTCACTATGAGTTGGAATCGACTCGACAAAAATGGGTTTGGTTTTGGTTTGGATCTAGAGTTAGTTTTATAAAAGAGAAATTTTAGATTAACCTGATTTTTATTTAGTTGTTAGTAATTGTTTTTCATGACTGAATAATTTAATAATATATTTTTAAAAATACTATAATTCAAAACGTTT